TCGGCTGTGGCGAGGATCTGGTCTGGTTGTACACTCGCGACAGGAGACTCTAATAATTGGCGAATAATAAACGTCGGACTTTCGTAGGTAACTCCGCGATGACTCTATCTTTAGTGCGTATGTTCTCACTTACGCGAACTCTTTACTTTGCTGGAGATACGATACACGATACCTAAATGAGACTAACGCGAGAGATTAACCTGTCCGCGACTACAGAATACACAAAAGAAAAGCCGCCCGTGGTCGTGACCACGGGTTTATATACCCCCTAGATCCTCGCAAGGCACGATCGTAATTTCGAAATCTTAATTTCTACATTTCCGAATCTGGGACATGTCGCAAGTTCGATGGCCGATTCGTATGCAACGGCCTAACATCGCTGACGCCCGTTTGCTGACTCGCGGTTTGCATTATTTCGTTCCCGAGTAACGATTTTCGCATCGTTTACCGAGCGCATTCCTTAAAGTCTATTGATCTTAACTTATTCGCAATGCGAGGTCGATGAACAGGGACACCGGCAGGGCCGAATGTAACACGCTGGAACGTGCATTGCGACTGACGGTGGCTACGTGGAGCACTTGCTCAGTTAACAACAATCGGCTCCTTTCGGGGCCACCACTTGTTTACAACGTAGAAGCAACAAGTTCTACCAAAAATAAATGAAGTGATCGTGTTACTTAATCAGTGTTGGTGACCGAGCCGTGAAGTGAATTTATCTTCGACAAAGTAATAACTAGAATACGTAAAACCATTTCGTCGCCCGATGACCAGCCCCAGTGCAGTGACACAGGTTTCCGAAAAGGAAGGAAAGGAAAGAAAAGGACTTCCGAAAGGGTGAGCTAATTATTTAATTCATTTAGGGTTTATTGTTTCTTAAATTTAAAATTTAAGCGAGTAAAGAATAAAAGGTAAATCGAAAAAAATCATGTGTGACGTAAACTTTACTGAACGTTACTATTAACAGCAACAGTTATTATTTTCCGTTACATTGCCTATTTGTTAATGCGTTATTTGAAAAGGAAATTTACGTATTCCTTGTTTTCTTAGTTCAAATAATTATTTTCCCTTTTGCTTAAAGAAAACTGTGCATTCGTCTTTTTACGTTACACAAGATTCTTTTCGATTTACCTTTTACTCTTTACTCGCTTTAAGTGACAAACAAGACATGACGAAACTTTAATTTTATTTGTTACGTCTTTTTTATTTGCTACGCTACATAGTTTCCTTCGATGCACGTCAGGTCACTTGTTCGCGTACGAGCGTGGCCGCCTAGCGTGTAGCCTTCGCTAGCACGGCCGCTCCAACGGTATGCGCGCGCTCTGATTGGTCGGGGTTTTTTGTTAATATCTGCTTAACGAAGCCCCATCCTACATTTTTGCAAAGGAAAAAGTTGTTTCAAATTACCCCCCGGACTACCCATTTCAAGGAACTCTAACATTTTTGGAACACCCTGTATATATATATAGTATATACTACCTCTTTGCTACAGATGACCTATTTTTGCGTTAAATCGAAAATTCCCGCTGATTATGGATGAGGCACTCTTATGTCAAATAAGAAATTACAGGAATTTCATAAAATTATGTGTAACAAATCAAATTGTTTAAGTATATCCAGACGCGAAGGTGTTAAACATATTTTATTATACGTAGTATTATTAGTAGTTATCACCTCTGTGTTGTATTTTGTAAGGGAAGTCTCATTATAGGTACATATGTACATAGAATTACATATTCGCTATTATCGCGATTTCGGGTATCCATGAAAAGACTTCTTCAGTGTCTTTTGAATTTGACTTCGAACATCGTCAATTGTACATCCATCGTCTGTGAACATGCTAGCAATCGTTACCTTTTGCGTTGCCAAGGTTGGGGAAACAAATGCTGCCGATGGTCAACTCTCGATTTATGAGCGACTGAATCAAATGTGCTTTATCTGTTTTACCTGCTTTACCTGCAAGTTTTGCATCCACAAGCTTTCACGTCTTCGCGGTCGTCACTACCCCCACTTAAATTCATATTCATGGGTTTTGTCGTAGAAAAACCCAAGATATCAGCAAGTCAGTCTACTTGTTGATCGCAAACGGTAAACATCGAAGTCGTGAATCTAAGTGCATTTTGTTTCCTATTATTTCTGTGGAAAAAGAGGTGCAATGAGTGTAAAGAAGTATTAAAGATTGGACTTTACCCCTGCAGAGAATGAAATACTTACGGAAAAAGTGAGGGAAAATCCACCGCTGTATGTCAAAAAATTAAAAACATACAAAGATATTCAATTAAAGGAGAATATTTGGAAGAAAATTCAGAAGGAAATGGAAGAAGTAGACTATAATAGAACAGGTAAATTATATATTTATTTAATATTTATTTTTCATATGTACTACTCTGAATCTATGTGAACCTGGCACCCGATTGTTCAATATTGAATTTTTTTTTATAGAAAATGATAGTATATCGTTTGTACTTGATTATACTACCAATAGTTTTATTTTCCTCAATTAATAATTAAAAAAAAATAAAAAAATGGTCAGCATCCGACATAGAGATTTTTGAAATCTGTTTTTCCCCTCTTCTTTAGAATAGTTTGTAAATGTTTGTTCCGCCTTTCGTTTTGTTCGTACCTCAATAGTTTAAATTTTACAAGTAATTGTTGATACGCGTAAGGGTAGAAATCGTAAATTCCCAATATTTGTAAAATTGTTGATACGGTTGAATTATAAAATTTAAACAAATAATGGGAAGAAACGGATTTTAAAAATATTGGAAATTTTCGATTTCTACCCTTACGCGTATCAACAATTGCTTGTAAAATTTAAACTATTGAGGTACGAACGAAACGAAAGGCGGGACAAACGTTTACAAACTATTCTAAAGAATGGGGAAGAAACAAGTTTTAAAAATCTTAATGTCGGGTGCTGACCATTTTTTTATTTTTTTTTAATTATGAATTCACGAAGGTACAAACACATACTTCTAATTAGTACACGTAATTCTGAGTACATAATTCTACATAGTACATATTGTGATGTACCTCGCGTGGGCGGCCGAGAAAGCCGCTAATCGACACGCTCGGTCGCACAATTTCCACGGACAAATTTATTTGGAAGAATTGGACGCCAGTGCCAAGTGCACGCGTCCGTTACTTTCGTCCTTCCGGCTGCTCTACGGAGAGCGAAACTCAGGGGAGGTCGAAAGGGGGAAATAAATTTTGATCCGCGTACGTTTAATCGAATTTCTTTATTTAATCGAAACCGACGCGGGGGAATTCCGCGGTACACACACCGTTGAGGAAAGGGTGTGGTGACTACGCGCCGAAAAGGATACGCGGCGCGGAACTCCCGATACAACTCTACGTTTCGAAAACGGAGGAAAAACCGGCACAGCTTATTCTATAGGGGGCCTCGCAAACAAATAGTCCGCCCTAGAATGAAAATACAATCGAAAAGAAGGTGATGTCAGGAATTAACGGTTCGCGTTTCCAAGGAGCCCACTCCTTCGAAACGCGGCGCGTTCTCAAACCGCGCAAGGTCACGCGGGAGATTCGCGAAACGGACGGAGGGAAGTCTAACGGAGTTCCCTCCGGTGGTGGTCCTGTCGCGGACGAAAAGGGTGCTCCGGAGTACGCTCGCGGACACACTCGATCCGTACTCTCACACCCACGTACACCACAAAGGAAACTCAACCAGTGGGCCCTACCTGAATGTTGTAGGCCTCGGGATCCCTGATTACGGGGCGTTCTCTCCGCGGTGGACGGCGTGGACAACACCCACCCACACACGCGCGCGCGAAATACGTTACAATTCTAGCCACGGAAAAAGGGGCTCGCTCGCGTAGCACAGGTTTCGTTTTGCTTCCGGTTAGCCGTTAATTGGTTTCGATCCCTAATCGATCGCGCATCGATCGACGCGCTCTTCTCGCCGCCGGCTCGCGGCTCTCTCCACCCAGGAGCTGTAGGGGCTCCTCACGGTGTGCCACCACCATGGCATCTTCAGTCTTCCCCTTGTGGCAGCGTCGAGGGGCGATGGCAGCAGTACATGTTTCCGAGGGTGGTCAGTCCTCTTGGTGGTGGCTACACCGGGGTCCTGGGGTGGAAGATACCGCGACCGGCGACTTGCCGCGCTCGCGCGAAGACGCGGCTTTCTCGGCGAGGGTGAGGGGGCGCGAAAAAGGGGGATCCCTGATGACCGCGGTCCAGACATCCCTCCACTCTCGCGGACCACCTCCGGCCTGGGGTGTCCGGCGAGGAGGGAGCAAGGCCCTTCCGCGGGTCAGGGTGCTTTTGTGACGGGCAGAAAAAGTCTGCCCCGTCACAATATATACAAATTTCTAAAATTAAAAAACTAAAAGTATACAATATTTATCTACATAGTTCGCGTTACAATATTATCCTGCCATTCAAGGCGGCCTATTTCCATATTAAAATAATCTTTAAACGCGTCCCGCACTCTATGTCCGCTGAGGTTTCCCCTACGGGTTTGATTAGGGGCTAAATTTGTATTATTTGTCATTGGCACTGCAGATGTGATTTCTTCTACAGGCACATTTTCGTTCGTTAACATATTATGTAATATGCATGTAGGAAAGATAATATCATCAATTGCATTTACGTTTTTTACTGCAATCGATGTCAAATATACTCTAAATCTTTGGGTGAGTATACCGAAGGCATTTTCGGTCGTTCTCCTTGCTCTTGAATGTCGATAATTATATGTGGCCATAGCAACATCGCTATTTGACGCAGATTGTGCATATGGTCGCATTATGCTTTCGGTTAATGTAAAGGCACTGTTACCTAAAATTACATGCGGCAGCAAGGTGTCTGTGCCAGGCAAAACGGCAGGAGGTGGAAGATTAAATCTCCTGCCATTATCTTTTTACTAATATTTTATTTGGCAAATATTCCCGCGTCACCTTCGCTACCATACGCACCCACATCAATGGGTACAAATTTACAATTTGCATCTACAAGAGCAAGGAAAACTGTGGAGTAGTATTCCTTATAATTAAAATGCAGTGATCCCGTGTCAGCCGGGCAAACGATTCTAATATGTTTTCCATCAATTGCCATGCAGTAATTTGGAAAATTGCACCGGTCATAAAATTGGTTTGCATTTTCTTTTAACGTTTCCTGGCTGGGTGTTTGCATATATATTTTTGTCATGTTTCTATTTATTGCAGACGTCACCTCTCTTATTATTCGCCATAACCAACTGTGAGTTATTCGAAACGAAAATGCTAACGATCAGAAGGATTCTCCTGTTGTTAAATATCTGAAACAAAAATAATATTAAATGAAATGCATAATTATTAATCCTTTTCAGTTGAAGATTGCAAAAAACGGTGGACAAATTTACGGGACTACTACGCCAAAACAAAAAGGGCCAGTACAACCGGTAGTGCAGCACATGATGCGAAAGAAAGTCTAAAGAATTAAAAATTTTTGATGAAAATACGATTGTCCACAGACCGTAAGTAGAAAGAGGACATATCTAGAACTGCCATTATGTCATGAAATATTATATAATTGTTTCGCTTCATTTCATACTGCTTATACACTTTTTAGTTGCAGTACTACGAGCAACATAGCTGACTGTTCACTACAAATTGAAAAAATGAAGAAACAGAAGAGCCAAATTCATCAGGAATAATAACAACGGGAACCGCAACAACAATAGCAACAACGGCAACGGCAACAACATCAATGGCAGGGACAAGAGGAATCACGGTAACGGCAACAAGTCAACGGCAACCACATCAACGGCAACAACGTCAAACAATAATAGTACTATAGAGACAAGGAAGCGAACAAGATCGCAAGTCTTCGACATTATAGAAAAAGGGAGAGAGGAACGGATAAAATTGTTACGGCAATTAGTGAACAAGGAACAGGTGGGTGGACCATGTAGACAGCTACTTTAAATCTTTGGCGGACATAGCGAAAACATGGTCGCCACTATACTACGCTCATGCGAGAAGAAAAATTAGTAATCTCGTTAGCGAGCTGGACATTGAATATTTATCAAAGAATATAAATAACAGAACAGAAGACGATAATAGCGAATAAAAAAATAAAATTAGCAGTATAAAAGACGGTGTTTTTATTCATTTTTAAGGCCACTTATCTCAATGTGACGCATTGAGATAAGCTTTTGTTCGGGTGAAATAGGTTTAGGATATTTGTTGGTAGGTACTGTTGTGATATCGGTTTTGATATAATCCAGTACGGTGTAAAAAATTTCTGGAGTCACTTGCAAATATTCTTTAAACTTCGTATCGTTATCCGCAATATGGTTCAGAAATGATATATGATAAACACCTTCTTCTTCTCTCTCTAAAAACAGTTCAGTACTTTCACTTTCTGAACACAATGCCAGTAGCAATTCATCCTCGGCATCTTGCTCTTCTTCTTCCAGCAGTAACAGTTGCTGCACAATCTTAGAATTTTCCATTCTAATTTAATTTAATTATTTTACTTTACGGATCGCTACTTGAATTCTACTCTTGTCCAAGGTAAGAAGACAACTGGTTGTCGCACGCTACCGGATACACATTTATAGAGAGGTAACTGTAATTTCTAAAGGGGTGGGTCTCCCATTTCGCTACCTCCTGTAGTTCGAGTCAGGCTTGTCGGGGGTTGCAGATCCTTGTGACGTCATGGCTCCCACTCGTTCTACCCAAGGGGATCAAGAAGGTCCCCTGCCATACCACATCCCATCCCAGTAGAGAAATGTTCATTATATTCCCATTATTTTTATTGGAAGTTGACAATTTGAACAAAGACTGAGTTCCCAATATATCAATATTCTGAAGTTTTCAATATTAATATAAGTATTAAACATATTAAGGAAGAGCGCCGAGATCAAAACTAGCTACCAGTGGTTATTCAGCCAAATTTTGAAGCTTTGTAGTTTTATATCGATTTTTTGACGCTAAATTCAATGGTGTAAACAAAGAAATTGTTGAGAAAGAAGTCGTCGGATCGAAAAATCCATACGCTTGTTAATAAAGAGAGCCCGGTTCTAACTCTGGAGCTCCGAGGGGGGAGCAGAGGAGGGGAGAACCGAGAGGGAGAGGGCACGAGTGGGGGGGGGGGGTAATTATTACCTACGGTGGGTAAGGTAGGATGCAATTATTACCTATGGTCGTTAAGGTAGAGGGGGGCACCACCGGTCGGTAATTACCAGAAATCGGTAAGAAAGAAAAACGCAAGTTTTACATATAGCGAAATAAGCATGTAAGGGAGGGGGAAACCGCAATGAATACACACATGTTTTAACAGTGGAAATAGGTTAATCAGTAGGTGACTGTCTTTTGTTTTCCGTACCTCAGATATTTCAGTCGATACAGTTAACAATGCACATTTTCACACCCATACCACGAGAAAAAGAATAACGAATAAAACTACCTGTTTCTCTGCTTTTAATTTTATTATGTTTTCCGAGAAGAAACTAATTGCAATTGGTATACTCATTACCACGGCGAAACTAAACAGATATGAACGTTACCTTTAGTTTTGTAATTGTAATGGATAAAATTCAATCTTGCAATTGGAAATAGAAGTGAATGCTAAGTAAAAAATTATTAGGGTATATGGGATTAAAACTTGTCAAATAATAACACTTAAAAAAAAGAAAGTACACCGAATAAAAATTTTAACTTTACCTAAGTTTTTGAAAACGATTCCCGTACATTCTCGAGATATCATTAGTATCGTATGAAAGGGTGAAACTTTCTCTTTCAGAAGCAAAATGAATTAGCTGCTA